CATGAGCAAGCCTGGCTTCTTACATTTGTTTCTTTGTCTCACAGAAGATGAGGAATCCTAAAATAAAAATTTTGCCCATAACTTTATACTGTGTGGGATACTGCTTTGGTGAAGTCCGTTTTATTGTCATCCCTTTCTTTTTGTAAATTAAAAAAAAATTATTTTCTTTAGACAAGGTTTCGCTATGCTGCCCAGACTGGCCTCAAACTCTTGGGGTCAAGCCGTTCTCCCACCTCAGTCTTCATCCCTTTCTAGACAGCGAAAAACAAATACGCAGAGCTCCAGGTCCTCTTTTCTAGGGCAGGGAGGGGAGCCTGAGGGTCTGGTAGGTCCCAATGAGGTGACTGCTCCAGCACTTCGTCTTTGGGAACATCTGTCTGGTGCCAGTTTGACCCGAGGAACGGCCTAAGTCGCCCGCAGGCTCCTAAGGTCCTCGTCTTTCCGGGTGGCAAGACATCTGAACCACCTCGAGAACAAGTTCCCGGTTGCTTTAGGCGCTTTGTTACAGCTGACGGGGCTGGTGGCGGTTGGGCTCTCCGCTGGGAAAGGCGCAGCTCAAATGTAAGGCTCGGGAGGGGGCACTGAAATGGTCTTCCTGGAAGGCTTCCTTCAGGAGGAAACAAATTGGGAGTTGTTGGCTGTCCAGACAGTTCAGCAAAGTGCAGCGTTTCTCCTTGGGGAATTTCAGAAGGATCCTGGCCCGGTGTACTCCAAGGTCCGGCGCCGATAGGTCGAGGGTAGAGGGAGGTACCATGCTGGGCAGCTTGGCCCCAGGGGGACATGTTCCCTGCCCCACGCATCCAATAGATGACCCCAGCTGAGGCCCACGCAGCCAATACCTGACTTCAGCCGAGACCCACGCAGCGAATGGCCGGCCTGCTGCGCTTCGCCCGTGCCCGCCCATCGGCGCCCACCAATCAGGACTCGGGCCACCTTGGCACCGCCTCTGGACGCCCGCCCCACCCATCCGCCCCGCCTCCAACTTGCTCAGCAGGGCTGGGTACACCGGCGCGCTCTCCGGGACTGGGTGGGGGGGCAGTCCCGGTTTCGGCCTTCGCGCGGGTGGGCTCGGAGCGGCCGCACCGGGCAGCAACCCCACTCCCACTCGGAGACCCCTGCCCTCTCCCCCACTTTCCCCCGGCCCATGGTGCGAGGCTGGGAACCGCCGCCCGGGCTGGACCGCGGTGAGTGATCCCCAGCCCCTTGGACTTCCCCTCCCAGCTCGTGTACGATCTCCGACCTCTGGAGCCCCATCTCCGCGCTGGTGGGGGGAGAATTCTAGGTTCAAGTCGCCCGGTTCTCTCTTTTTTCTCCTCTGGACTTTTTGGTTCCCTGTTGTAACTAGGGGAGGGGTGAGTGTCTGCGTAGGGGAGGGAAATGTTGGGTTGGGGCGCCCTTGGCGAGAGTAGGATCGAGATTCGCCTGCTTCATGGGGCTCATCGCCCCAAGTGCAACAACTTTTTGTTCCCTGACCCAGTTCGGAGCCTTCTGGACTGCCTGTGAAATGGAGGATAGGAGAAACGTTTCCTTCCCAGCCCCCTCCAGCACGCCCCCCAACCCCCATGGCTACCTTCTGGCGACCTCAACACACGTATAGAACCTGGCCTTGCTTCTGAGGATCTGGCCTTTGGGAATGAAAGGTTTAGAAGAAATTGCCCCTTCTGACTCCCGTACCCAACCATACTCAGAAAACCAACCAGGAAACTGAGAACCCAAGTCCTCTGGGGTTCCTAGTGTTGCGTCCTATTCTGAGACTACTAAACTGAAAGAAGACTCAAGCTGAGACCTGTTTTGTAATGTGGGCCCAGATCAGGAGTTTGTTTGTTTGTTTGTTTTTTGTCATGTGAACCTCCTTCCCATCGTACACTTGAAGCCTTTTTATATTATACGATTAGGTTAGATGGTAGTAACTGAAAAAGCCAGATTGGGAATTTTAAAAATAATGAATATATATCTTAAACATTATAATTAAAAGTACGTTCATTTCACCAATCTTTTGATGTAGTGGTGAGACTGTTTTTGTGTCTAAAGTCAGCTGTTCGGAGTTCCCAATTCTCTTTCTAATATTAACTACACAAGGAATCTCAAAACTGGCTATACCCTGAGAACTTTTAAAAACTGTGGATGCCTGGGCCCCATACAGACTATTGAATCTGAATGGGGAGAAGGGTGGCCTTGTTTTTAAGCTTCCCAGGTAATTCCAGTGTGCAGTCTGAGACAAGAGCCAGTCTGGCACTTTCATCATCTTTGATTTCCTGTTTTGCTTTATTTATAAAAGTGAAGAAATTTTGACACCTTTGAGTGCAGAGGACTTTTAAGATTAAGTTCCACCCCTCAGTCTTTTACAGTTGTCTTGCTCACTCCCAACTCAACAATTTTTAAAATGCATACTCTTCTTTGTGTTATGTCTCTCCAAAGCATTTGACTTAGTTTTCATAGGAACAGTTTTTAAAAATCAATATTCCTGAAGGAACAATTTTAATGCAGTGAGTTTTCATAGGTTTATATGAGATTTAATTACATTATTATATGACACTGAAAAGGTATGGACATAAGAAGGTTTGTAATCACACAAAACTGGCCCCAGCACACAGCACAATTGAATGAAGCAGGTGATTTTGGCTCATGAGTAGCCTACTAGTCTTTAGTTTCCAGTGCACTGTGGGTATTGGTCATGTAATCCAGTGGTCAGTTAAGCCAGGCTCCTGGCCCAGTTGAGCATTGCTCCCTTCCACTCTTTCCAGCTAATATCACAAATACCTTGTCCCTTCTAGATGCACTTGAATTCTTGAGTATTCCATCAACTCTTTACATTCATTCACATTAAGCTGTTCATCTTTAAGCAATTACCACTATTGCCTTTATTAAGTTGGAAGGATATGAGGCAGTAATCCTTAACCTGGCCTCTTTTTTTTTTTTTTTTTTGAGACAGAGTCTCACTCCCTCACCAGGTGCCAGGCTGGAGTGCAGTGGCGCGACCTTGGCTCACTTCAACCTCCGCCTCCCAGGTTCAAGCAATTCTCCTGCTTCAGCCTCCCAAGTAGCTGGGACTACAGGCGTGCGCCACGTCGCCCAGCTAATTTTTTTGTATTTTTAGTAGAGATGGGGTTTTACCATGTTGGCCAGGATGGTCTCGATCTCTTGACCTCATGATCTGCCTGCCTTGGCCTCCCAAAGTGCTGGGATTACAGGTGTGAGCCACTGTGCCCGGCCTTTTTTTTGAGACAGAGTCCTGCTCTGTCACCCAGGCTGGAAGTGCAATGGTGTGATCTTGGCTCACTGCAACTTCTGCCTCCCAGGTTCAAGGGATTCTCTTGCCTTAGCTTCCCAAGTAGCTGGGACTGCCGGTGACCGCCACTCACAGCAATTTTTTTTTTTTTTTTTTGTATTTTTAGTAGAGAAGGGCTTTTGCCATGTTGGTCTGGCTGGTCTCAAACTCCTGACCTCAAGTGATCCGCCTGCCTCGGCCTACCAAAATGCTGGGATTACAGGCATGAGCCATCATGTCCAGCCATAATCTGGCTTTTGGCAGTCACTAAAGCCCCGGAGTTTATTGTGTAAGTATGAATGTTTATTTCAGGAAGGTTAGTCATAACTTTCTGAGGGTCTGTAACTTTTGTCTGATTCTCAAAGAGGTTCATGAACCAAAAAGTTAAGCATATAACCTGAATATCACTATAAGTCTTTAAGGCCCTTAAAACTGTATCCCAAACACATTTCAGGAGCACTTCAGATTGTCTCTAAATAAAGATTTCAGGAATTCTGCAGGATCATATCTAGTCTCCCACTGTATTTATTTTTATTTATTTATATATTTATTTTGAGACAGAGTCTCGCTCTGTTACCCAGGCTGGAGTGCAGTGTCGTGATCTTGGCTCATTGCAACCTCTGCCTCCCAGGTTCAAGTGATTCTCCTGCCTCAGCCTTCCCGGTAGCTGGGACTACAGGCACATGCCATCACACCCAGCCAATTTTTGTATTTTTAGTGGAAACGGGGTTTCACCATGTTGGCCAGGCTGGTCTCGAACTCCTGACCTCAAGTGATCTGCCTGCCTCTGCCTCCCAAAGTGCTGGGATTACAGGCACGAGCCACTACACCCGGCCTCATCTCCCACTTTAACCGTCTCCAACTTTAACCGTCTCCAACTTTAACAATAAGCCTAGGTTCAAATCTAAAGTTCTAGAGTCCTCTTTTTCCTAGGACTGTATAAACACAGAAACTGGAAGTTTAAGACAGCCCATTTTTCTCTGCCATCTGCTTAGCAATATGGAAAGCCCAAGGGGAAAGAAGAGTGTTATATTGACTCAGAGAGAGAGAGAGGGATACTTTTTTTTAATTTTAAAAATTTATTTTCTTTCTTGATTTTTGAGACAGAGTCTCACTCTGTCGCTCAGTCTGGAGTACAATGACACAATCTTGGCTCACTGCAACCTCCGCCTTCCAGGTTCAAGCAATTCTCCTGTCTCAGCCTCCCGAGTAGCCGGGACTACAGGTGTGCACAACCATGCCCAGCTAATTTTTTGTATTTTTAATAGAGACGGGTTTCGCCATGTTAGCCAGGCTGGTCTCGAACTCCTGACTTCGTGATCCGCCTGCCTCGGCCTCCCAAAGTGCTAGGATTACAGGCGTGAGCCACCACGTTTGGCCTTAAAATTTGTTTATTTTTGATTGATTGATTGATTGAGACAGGGTCTCTCTATATTACCCAGGCTGGTCTTGAACTCCTGAGCTCAAGTGATCCTCCTGCCTCCCAAAATGATGGGAATACAGGCATGAGCCACTGCACCCAGCCATGACTCCTTATATTTTTATTAGTGATCTTTAAGTAGCAGTAGGACATAACTGGCATGTTTAATAAGGACACAAATTTAGAAGGTGTTCAGAATAGATGCTCATCACCACCACCACCACCACCTCCTCTGCCCTAGGACTCCTCACTTCAGCTTTTGATTCCCTTCTTTTTCTACCTAATCCAAAATGGACACACAAGAACACAAGATACTGTAGTGTCTTTATTGTGATTTTGATTACTATGGGTTCTACCCTACTTCTTATAATTCTCATGAGCCACCCTGGTTGTAGTTTTCTCCTAGTTCAAAGCCAGATTCTTCCAGGGAAGTACCAGCTATTCAGCTGTGGGCCTTGATTTAAGTCACCATTCTGTTTCAGGAAGTGTTCCATATCATGTTTTGTGTAAGTGAAAACGACGTGTATAGTACACCAAAGATGTTATTTGCAGTACTGTATATCACACTGAAATATCAAGCTGATGCTGAGAATATGAAGGACATCAAGACACATAAATGAAAGCAAAATACTTCCTTACAGCTTTTAATGCTTATAAATGTGTCTGCCTTATACTTATATTCCCATCTGCAGTATTCATCCTCACACTGGACTGCTTTGTTCCTTCTGCTTTATTTTCTTTATCTCTAAACCGTTATCGTGTCTTTATATAATAGGACACAAATGAGGTTAAGTAGATATCAAGCATTGCCATCATAAAGTATTCTCCAGCTTGGATTTGGTGGTGTTCTGGGTGGGCCACAGTTTCTAAATGGTAGTTTTCAGCTGTGTCCTAGATGAACCTGGAAGGGGAAAGGTGGAACTATCACATAGGCAACCGACATTCCAATCACAAAGAATCCAAATTATGGATGCAATTCTAAAGCAGTGGTTTTCATACATTTTTTAAAGCAGCAAATACCTTCTGAAATTGTATTTAAACCCCAAAATATAAAAAGTATAGAATCATAGATACCCTGGTTTCCTCATCGCTAGTTAGAATTAGGGTTCTGCAAAAATAGATTGAAAACACTGATTTTTAAATGATTCAGTCTTTGTCCCAGTTACCCCATTGTCTAGGAGGAGCATTACTTTACATCAAAATCACCTCCATGAAGTTGAAGTGATGATAAAAAGCTGCTATTTATTGAGCTCTTACTTTGTTCTCGGTATAATATCAAGTGCACTTTTTCAGTCATAAACTTGCTGGGTAGGTGCTTTTTTGCTTTTTTCACCCAGGCTGCAGTGCAGTGCACAATCTCGGTTCACTGCAACGTCGACCTCCCGGGCTCAAGCAATCCTCCCACCTCAGCCTCCCAAGTAGCTGGGACTACAGTTGCATTACCATGCCCATCTAATATTTTGTATTATTATTACTATAGAGACAGTTTTACCATGTTGCCCAGCCTGGTCTCAAACTTCTGGGCTCAAGCCATCTACCCACCTTGGCCTCCCAAAGTGTTGGTATTATAGGCATGAGCCACAACACTCAGCCCAAAAAAAGGTGCTTTTTTTTCTGATGAGAAATTAAGGCTTAGAGAAGTTAAACAACTTGCCCAAGGACAAGCAGCTTTCTAGAAAGTGGAGTTACATTAATTCGTCTCATCCTGGACATCCCTCCTCTAACAGTTACTCTATGCCCTGCCTATACATAACAACTAGCACGTAGTACTATTACATACTCTCTAACACCTAGCACATAGTACTATTACATACTTTCTAACACCTAGCACATAGTACTATTATGTACTCTCTGTACTGTCTTCATTTTGTTACACAGGAGGAAACTAGGCTCATGTAGGTTAAGTGACTTGCCTGAGATCACATAGCTGATAAGTGGCAAAACCAGGATTCAAACTCAGGTTGGCCTTATCGAAGAATTCATATTTCTACCTATCATGCCATGCTACCTCCATTGACCCTCTTAAGGGGCTCTTCAAGCAATATTGCTTTCAGGGTCTTCATAGCCTCAGTTAGTTTAGATTTGCTTGTTAAAAGGAAATGGTGACATGCATTAAAATACTTCTGAATTTTAAAAATCATGGTGTAAAAATCCCTGATATCACATTGCTCTAAATTTATGGACTTGAGATTTATTTTTGCAATTCATCATGTAGCATTTATGTAGGAATCCTGTCCTCTCCTTAGCAGATCTGGAGTAGTACTTAAAAACACAGATGGAAGGCCCAGCGCGGTGGCTCACGCCTGTAATTCCAGCACTTTGGGAGGCTGAGGCAGGCAGATCATGAAGTCAGGAGTTGAAGACAAGCCTGGCCAACACGGTGAAACCCTGTCTCTACTAAAAAAAATTAGCTGGGCATGATGGTGCATGCCTATAGTCCCAGCTACTCAGGAGGCTGAGGCAGGGGAATCGCTTGAACCCAGGAGGCTGAGGCAGGGGAATCGCTTGAACCCGGGAGGCGGAGGTTGCAGTAAGCCAAGATCATGCCACTGCAATATAGCCTGGCAACAGAGCAAGACTCCGTCTCCAAAAAATAAATAAATAATTAATTAAAAAATAAAAATCCAGATAGGATTCCCCCAAGAGTAAAGAGTGATGGATGTGTTAAAGGGTCTCTAGTGCCCACACAGGGAGCTGAGTTAAAATTGTCAACAGAATATTCTGGGAAATAACTTAAGCAGTTATTTCAGGAAAGAAGCACAGTCAAGGCTATCCCCGTAGTCCCCATACCCATAACCCTGGGAGCAGTGCTGCTGCTGAGTAGCTTGCAGGAGCTGGTTACAATTTATAATGAGCCTGTCCACCTGGTCTTGAGGAGAAAGCTGGGCTGAAAAGATAAGCGCAAGAGACCTTCTGCCCTGTGTGGTGGGGGCTGTTAGTGACTGAGGGAGCTCTCTGGGCTCCCTGGGGAGAAGCTGAGCTGTTGGAAGAGACAAAGGCTGGGGGAGGGGATAACCTTTGTTCCAAGGCTGACTTGGGGGCGGAAACATTTTCCTCTCCATTTTCACATGACCTAAAGGATTGGGGGAGTGAGCCTCATTTATCTTAGATCTCTGACCCATATCTCTCATTCAACCAAGAGATGGAAAAAATCAAGCTATCAGGTTTGGGCTTAGGGCTTAAAGGTACTATCATTCATTCGCCTTCCCCCAACACTCCACCACCAAGAAGGGAAAGGAAAAAAGGGCGCTGGGCAGAGGATGGTGTTGTCCTACCCTCCGGATAGTCATCAGTTGTATTCTCAATATTGCTCCACATTCTATATATAATTATAAATTGTTAGGATCCAATGAGTTAGTAAGAAGCGAGGCACAATGGTATGCACCTGTAGTCCCAGCCACTCAGGAGGTTGAGGCAGGAGAATCACTTGGTCCCAGGAATTCGAGGTTGTAGTGCATTATGATTGCACCTAAGCATAGCACGCCAGCCTGGGCAACACAGTGAGACCTTGTCTCCAAAAAAAAAAAAAAAATAGCAGCTGGGCGAGGTGGCTCATGCCTGTAATCCCAGCACTTTGGGAGGCAGAGGTGGGTGGATCACTTGAGGTCAGGAGTTTGAGACCAGCCTGGCCAACATAGAGAAACCCCATATCTATTAAAAATACAAAAATTAGCCAGGCATTATGGGGCATGCTTGTATTCCCAGCCACTTGGGAGGCTGAGGCAGGAGAATCGCCTGAACCTGGGAGGCGGAGGCTGCAGTGAGCTGAGATTGTGCTACTGTATCCCATCCTGGGCAACAGAGCGAGACCTTGCTCAAAAACAAAACAAAATAAAACAAAACTCAGTTTTGAGGGCCAGGTGCAGTGGCTCACTCTAGTAATCTCAGGACTTTGGGAGGCTGAGGTGGGGAGGATCACTTGAAGCTAGGAGTTTGAGACCAGGCTGGGCAACATAATGAGACCCTGTCTACAAAAAAATTTTTAATTAGCCAGATGTCCTGCCTACTTGGGAGGCTGAGGTGGAAGGATTGCTTGAGCCCAAAAGTTCACAGCTGCAATGAGCTATGATCATGCCACTGCACTCCAGAGTGAGTGAGACCCTGCACAACAGAGACCCTGACTCTTGAAAAAAAAAAAAAAATGTGCACACATACAAGCAAGTTGAAATTATTGCTCCTCTTGTTTTTGTGATCGAGTCTTCACTATGTGATTCTTGTTCCATGAATTTAGAAGGTGAGAGTTGGTGGACAGCTTCTAGAAGTGGGTTTGAATAGGAAAGATAAAGGCTGTATCAAAGATATGATGGTGCCACTGCGCTACAGCCTGGGTGGCCTCAGTGAGAGACTAATATTATCTCTAAAA